ATGAGATCTGGGTAATGACCCAAAAGACAAGATCACAAACACAAGCAGCAGCAATTAGTTTCCTTAACAGGGTGGCTGGGCGCACCCTTCCAGTTCACGTGAGGAGCTCAGTTACCCGGGAGGAGCTTGGAGTAGAGTCACTGCTCCTCCACGTCAAAAGGAGCTAGCTGAGGAGGCTCGGGCATCTGTTCCAGATGCCTCCAGGTCGCCTCTTTAGGAGGACTACCAGGCATGTCCCATTGGGAGGAGGCCTGGTGAAAGGCCCAGGACACCCTGGAGGCACTATATCACTGAGCTGGCGTAAAATATAAGGCATTAAAGCTACACATAGAAATTCTAAGTAATTCTAAACCACTGAGGTCTCTAAGAAACTTGATATATAAAACATAACAATCAGCCAGCTGCAGGGCACACCCATCTTGCAGAGGTCCATCTTCATTCATTACATTAACTATATTACGTAAGTATTGCTAAAGAAGTTCCCATATTTTCTCGCAAGGCTCTTTTGCCTTGTTAACGAATCAACCATTCAAAGTACTAAAGTTGTCATGCCCTTTCAAACATGATCAGCAATATAAAAACCCTTTGGCATCATGGCTTAAAATAGAGGTCTCTTCATAAAGCAGCAAATCATTAGTTCCCAATATAGGATTAAAGTTCTAAAAAAGCCATACCCTTGTAGTTTATGCATATATTGTTCAGATCCTAAATCGGTGAGCTACACAAAAACACATTGTCATTTTATTAAACAATTAATATTTCTATATCAATTACAACAATGTATGCAAATTACTGTCCAACACCTGCATTCAATTCAAAAATTCTAGTATGAATACATTTACATAAAGTTGGTGCCAAAATATATCCTCTTGATCTGTAAATATTGACCTTTTTATATCTATATTGATCACTTTTGCTAGCAAAGCATTCCATTCTTTTAATACTTTGTAAACAATTTTTTTAAGGAAAGTTTTATTGCGATTGAAAATCACCTCGAAAAATTGTCTCTTAGGCAAAGAAAGGCAAGTCTATTTATTCATCAAATTTCAGTAGCAGTATTAAAGTTTTTATACTGTTTCAATAAGAGCAAATTGAAGTCAGACAATGAGGAAAATAAGTATTTGATCGCCCTGCAATTTTGTAGGTAAGCCCACTTACAAATTATGGAGGGGTCTGACATTTTAATCTTAGGTGCATATCTACTATCTGAGACATAATCAACAAAATAAAAAGATCAATAAATCACAATGTATGATTTTGTAATTTATTTGAATGTTACTGCTGGAAAAAGTATTAAAACATCTGCCAATCAGCAAAAACTCTGGCCCTCAAAGACGCCCACCCCCCACGCTCTACCGCTGTCACTCCCAATGAGGTCACAGGTGTGGAGGGCGCCTTGATTGAAGGCGAGGGTAATAACCAAAATGGAATGCACCCTTCCCTCCACTGGAAAAGGAAAGTGGCTGTTGCTATGGCAACACAGTGACGCCCCCGTGTGCATGGCTGTAGCTCTTTGGCGCAGGTTGAGAATCTGTGGAGGCAGCTCAAACTCTGCATTTCTCAGTGACGGCCTGGAAATCTGACTGATCTAGAGAAGATCTGTGTGGAGGAGTGGAAGTAAACGAGGCGGCCAAGAGGTTAAGGCGATGGATTGCTAATCCATTGTGCTCTGCTCATTTGGGTCCTATCCTTGCGAGACGCTACACTGCTGGATTATCGGGGACTGGTGGCCTAGTTGTTAGGCTATTGTGCTTGGAGTCCAGAGGTTCTGAGTTCCAGCCCCACTCCCACAGAACGCCACTCTGGGACCCTGAGCAAGACCCTTAACCCTGAACCGCGCCCCGGGTGCCACACAATGGCAGGCCACTGCTCCCCAAGCGGATGGGTTGAATGCAATGGTTTGTGATGGGTTCATTTTGTTACTTTGTAGTTCTAACAGTGTAATGACAGCAGGTTTGCAGTGTGTGCAAATCTGCTGTAAAACTACAGAAAACATTTTTACCTCTGTAATTGCAAACAAAGGCTACTGTACCAAGTATTAACATTGATTTTCATAGGCGTTAACCAAACTAGCTGGCAAATATTGTTTATATCACCTGACTGTAGCCACAGATTTATCTACGTATATTAGTTTTAATAAATTCAATATGTGTTGATAAACACAACTTGTTGTCCCTATCACAACTAGAAATTGATGAGGTACAACTGACATGCTGCAGCAAGAGTGAGTCAGGACAACAGGTCAACAGGGAGATTTCATCATGTTCATGATCCCAACCATCACAGATTTGGTCCCAAGCCCCAATAACAACAACAAGCCCACTAAACGTAAGGAGGGATGACCTACGACTGCAGATCATAACCAAGCCAGAACCCCTAGTACGACGACCAAGACTGCCAAGGCTGAGTGACAGAGTACCCTCTGAAAGTCCTCTAGAAGATGTAAATGCAGCACTACATACTATCCCTACTAAAGACATAACTGGGACCAATGAGCTGATCTACGCCACAGCTACAGTGATCCTAGAGATGCTTGGCTATAAGGCCACAAAGAGCATCTATCTATCATCTATCTATCTATCTATCTAT